AATTCTGGGAACCAACATGAGGTCATTCAGCCTCACAAATGACGGGTGACGCATGTCATCCCCGAAACCGCGTGGAATAACAAATATGTGCAATTTTAGATCCTCGAAGCCAGCATGCGGCCATTCAGCGTCACAAAAACACTGGATGACACGTGTCACCCCCGAAACCGTATGAGAAAACCAAATTATAAATTTGGGATTCCGAAGGCCAAAATGAAGCCATCCAGCCTCACAACAGCAACCGACGACACGTGCCAACCCCGGAACTGTGTGAGAAAAACGGCTTGTATATTTGAGATAATAGGAGCCACATAAGGCCATTCAGCCTCACAAGAACAACGGGCGACACGCGCCACCCCCGAAATCGTGTGATAAAAAAACAATTGTAAAGTAGGTGTTCTGGGTGCCAACATAAGGCAATTCAGCCTCACAAAAACAATCGGTGACACGTGTCGCCTCCGAAACCGAAAGAAAAACCGATTGTATACTTGGGATTCTGGGAACCAACATAAGGCCATTCAGCTTCGAAAAAACAACGGAGGACACGTGCCACCCCCGAAACCGTGTAAGCAAAACCAATTGTAAATGTGGCATTCTGGGCGCCAGCATAGGCCATTCAATTTCACAGAAAACAACGGGTGACACGTGTCTCCCCCGAAACCGTGTTGGGGACATAAGGCCATTCAGCCGCGCAACATCAACGAGCGTCACGCACCACCCCCGCAACCGCGTGAGAAAAACAAATGTAAATTCGGGATTCTGGAAGCCAACATAAGACAATCCACCCTTGCAAAAAATAACGGGTGACACGTGTCATCTCTGATTCCGTATGGGAAAAAACAAATGCAATATTGGTATTCTGGGAGCCAAAATAAGGCCGGCCAACCTCACAAAAACAATGGGCGACACGAGTCAACCCCGAAATGATAAAAACAAGTTGTACACGTGGGATTCTGCGTGCCACCATACGGCGATTCAACCTCACAAAAACAACGGGTGACACGTGTCACCCCCGAAACCACGTGAGGAAAAACACTTGTAAATTTGGTATTCTGGGAGCCAACATAAGGCTATTCAGCTTCACAAAAACACCGGGTGACACGTGCCACCCCCGAAACCGCGTGAGAAAGACCAGTTGTAACTCTGGGATTTGGGGAGCCAACATGAGGCCATTCATAATCACAAAAACAAGCCAGAAAATAAAAACAAAATAAAAAAAACGTGACACGCATCTCCCCCGAAAACGTTTGAGAAAAACCAGTTGGGATTCTGAGAGCCAACATAAGGCCATTCAACTTCACAAAAAAAACACGGACGACACGTGTCACCTCCGAAACCGTGAGAGAAAAACCACTTATACATTTGGGGTTCTGGAGCCAACATGAAGCCATTAAGCCTCACAAAAACCAACTGATTAAACGTGTCACCCCCGAAACCGCGTCAGAAAGGCCAATCATAAATTTTGGATTCTGGGGGCCGACATAAGACCAGTCAGCCTCACACCGCGCGCGAGAACTGGACGCCACCGCGCGCACGCGCGCGCGCAGTCGCGCGCGTACGTACGTACAGTGTCCCAGTAAGACGAAAACTACCTACTCGTGGAAGGAAGTAGCCTGCACATCTGCACGCATACAGGTCATGCGCATATGCCCATGCAGGCGCGTGCGTGCGTGTGTATACGCATATATGCATTCAAACATACATGTGCGCATTCATCAATCGCATCGTTCGGCCCCCGTGGAATATCTTGCAGGGGGACAGTTAAGAAATAGGTATCCAGCAGCGAAGTAATGGCAGTCGGGATCCAGGGGGTGGGGAGGGGGGCGGGATTTTCCTTTTTTTCAACAGGTTTTGGACATTACCCCCCCCCCGCCCCCTCTGAACCTCCCCTGCCTGAAGCCCGCCCCCTCCTTTTGTTCCGCCCCTCGGAAGCGAACCCCCCCATCCTTTCGCGCTCCGGAAGCTACCCCCCCCCTTTTCTTCCCCAAAACGGGGGCGGGGCTTAGCTGCACCCCCCCCTTGGACCTCCCCTGCCAGAAGTCCCCCCCCTCCTTTTTTTCTGCTCCACGCAAGCGAAGCTCCTCCCTCCCCCCCGGAGCGCGGAAACCAAAAGCAGCACGAAAAACGAAAGAAACGCCACCAAAAAGAACACCAAAAACGAGCCGAGCGCCGGAAACCATCATGGCGCCGAAAACCCATAAAACGCACGCCGAAGACCAAAGGCGTGCTGGAAACCGAAAGAGCGCCGAAAACCCATAAAACGCACGCCGAACACCAAAGGCGTGCCGGAAACCGAAAGGGCGCCACCAACCAACAGGTCGCCACACTCAAAGGATGCACAGAAAAATAATGACGCGCCGAAATCCAAAGGAGCGGCAACAACCAAAGGAGCGCCATAAACCAAAAACACACCGAGAACCTAAATGGCGCCGAGAACCCAAAAAGACCGAAAGCCAAAGGAGCGCCGAAAACCAAAAAAGCGCCGAAAACCAAAGAACCCAAAACGCGCAAAAACCCAAAAGAGCGTCGACAACCTCAGCGGCACCGCAAACCTAAAGGACGCCGAAAACAAAAAATGTTCCGACTACCGAACAGGGCGTCGAAAACCAAAGGAGCGCCGCAAACACAAAGAGCGCCGAAAACAACAAGACTCGCCGAAAAGTAAAGAAAGCCAAACAAGCCAAAACGGCGCGAAAAACTACAAACGGCCGAACACCAAAGGAGCGCCGAAAACCAAATGAGCGCCGACAACCAATAGGGCGCCGAAAACCTATCAGACGCCGAAAACCTTCGATCCGCCGAACACCGACAGCGCGCCAATAAACCCTTAGGACGACCAAAGAGGCGCCAAAACCTTAAGGACAGCCGAAAACAAAAAAGGTGCCACAAGAACACCGAAAACCAAAAGGACTCCGAAAACCAACGATGCCCCAAAAACCCACATATTGTCGAAAACCAAAGCGACGCCGAAAACCAAAGATGCGCCGAATACCGGAGCGGCCCCGAAAACCACATGGACGCCTCTTTCCCGTAGACGATCCCTGCCGGAAGCCCCCCCCGCCTCCCTCCATGTTCGGCTAAAGGAGGAGAATGGCTTGGAAAGCTCTCCCCCCCTGTGGCTAAAGGAAGGCTCCGAAAACCAAAAGACTGCCGACAACCAAAGGGCGACGAAAACCAAAGACGCGCCGCAATCCAAAAAGCGCACAGCAGCAAAAACACCCAGGCGCAAAAATCCTAGAAGATGCCGAATACGAACAGAGCGTCAAAAACCGAAAGAGCTTCGAAAATCAAATGAAGCCGAAAACCAAAGGGCCGCCCAAACCCAAAGAACCGCCAAAACCCCAAAGGGCGACGACAACCAAAAAGGCGCCGAAAACCAACCAAACGCCGAACACCAAACGAGCGCCAAAAGCAAAGGAGCAACGAAACCCAACCCGCGCCGAAAACCAACCGAACGCCGAAAACGAAAGAACCGACAAAGGAGCACCCAAAACCAAAGGATCGCCGATCTCAGCTGCGGGAAGGGGGGGGACGTAGCTTCCGAAGCACCCCAAATGGAAGCCCAGGCGAACCTTGGGCTCTGGAGAGGGAGGGAGGAGGGGTAGCTTTGAAACCCTCCCCCTGGCAAGGCAATCTCAGCTGCGAAAGGAAGGTAAGGGGGGGGTAGCTTCCAAAGGCCCCCCCCTCTTTGAAAGGTAAGCCCGTGCTGGCCATGGGTTCCGGAAAAGAAAGAAGGGGTAGCTTTGAAGCCCGCCCCCCTTGGCAAACTTATCTCAGCTGCGAATGGGAGAGGGGGAGGTAGCTTCCGAAGCCCCCCCCCCCGGAAAGGAGGGGAGGGGGGGGAGCTTACAAGCCCCCCTTTAGCTGGGGCCCCCCAGCTAAAAAATGCCTACAAAAGGGGGAGCGGGGGAGGGGGGTAGCTTCGGAAGCCCCCCCCTTTCCAAGGGAGGGAGGTGGGTAGCTTGAAGCTGGGCCCCTCCTTAATGAGAAGTGCGCCACAAGCATGCTCTTTCAAACTTGTAGAACGAATGTGCGCAGCACTAAAGCGACAACCACATTTGAAAAACGGACTGTCCTCCACGATTGAAACTACTACAAACAATTCAGACTAATGCGCGCGGCGCTTTGGCGAGACCCACAGTTTAAAAGCCAGCCGCCCTCAATTCTTGAAACTGCTGCGAATATTTACAACAATGGTGCGCGGCGCTGACTGAGCCGAGAATCGCATTCTGAAAACGGCCCGCCATCCATCCGCGAAACCGCTGCAAACTGTTTAAACGAATGCACGCGGCGCCAAAGCGAGAGCCACATGTCGAAGACAAGCCGCCGTCCAGCCTTGAAACTGGTGCAAACTTTAAGCTTCGGTCCGCCCTACCAACACGTCTGCGGGTGCGACACGGAGGAATTAGTTATGACGAAAAGGTATGGAGAAGGAAGAGGAGGAGGAAGAGCAGCAGGAGGAGAGCGGGGGAGGAGGAGGAGGATGAGGAGGAGGAGGAGTGGAGGAGGAGGAGGAGGAGGAGGAGGAGGAGGAGGAGGAGAGGAGGAGGAGGAGGAGGAGGAGGAGGAGGAAGAGGAGGAGGAGAGGGGGGGGAGGATGAAAGGGGAGGGGTCTAGGGAGAAGGGCGGGAGCGGAGGGATGGAAGGAGGAGGCGCAGCAGCAGCAAGCGGAGAAGGTGTGGGGGGGAGGAGGTTGAGAAGTAGGATGAGGAGGCAGAGGAAGAAGACCACGAGATCGAGGAACAGGATTAGGAGGAGAAAGAGGAGGACGACGACCAAGGAGAGGGGGAAAATGCGAGGCGGTTCAGGAGAAGGTTGCCCCGCCATCTTGCTTCTGCATGCCCGTTCACCCTGGCGTCGCTCTCATCCCCCCGCGGCCGCATCGAGGAAAGACCGCGCCACCTATGGAGCAAGCTTTCGGGCAACCAGCAGGAGGACCCTTGCAAAGACCGCGACTGACGACAAGAAGATGCAGCGCGGGTCGCGCCAACCCGCGCGTCCTCGAAGAAGGCGCGCCAGGCGGCGCGCGGGTCGGCCACGGCCTCCAGCCACTCGGGCGGCACCTGGCTGCCGACGGCCACGGCCACGACCACGGCGACCACAGCTGAGGCCACAACGGCGGGTACAACGACGGCGGCGGCGACCACGGCGGCGAACACGGCGGCGACCCTGGCAACCACGGCAGCGGCGGCAACGGCGGTGGTGACGACTGCGGCGGCGACAAAGGCGGCGGCCATGGCGACGAACATGGCAACCACGGTGACGACGACCACGGCGACGGCGGCAACTGTCACGGCCACAACGGTAAGGAAGACCGTGGCAACGACGAATCCTCATCAGCATCACCATCACAATCACCCCCATCATCACCACCATCATCATGATCCTCATCATCGTCATGATCATCATCATCATCATCATCATCATCATCAGCATCATCATCATCATCATCATCAGCATCATCATCATCATGATCAGCATCCGCATCAGCAGCAGCATGCTCATCATCGTCATCATCATCAGCAGCATCACCACCATCATCATCATCGCCACCATCATCATCATCATCATCATCATCATCATCATCACCATCATCCTCATCATCATCATCATCATTATCATCATCATCATCGTCGTCGTCATCATCATCATCATCATCATCAGCATTATCATCAGCATCATCACTACTACCATGATAATTGACATGCTCCTCCCCTTGTACTCCCAAACCGCCTCCTTCTCCTCCTGCATATCTCCCCATCCGCCTCGCCCTGCTCTTCCTCGTCTCCTCCTAGTCCACCTCATCACCATCAACATCATTATGAACAGCATGATCATGATAATCGCCAGCATCATCAGCATCAACAGCATCAGCATCATCTGGGTCATCATCAGCATCATAATCCGTATCATCATCATCAGTATCATCAACAACATGATCAGCGCCATCCGCATCGCCACCAAAATCGCCAACATCATCAGCGGCAACGTCATACTCATCCTCCTCATCACCATCACCATCACCATCACCACCATCATCAACATCATTATCATCAGCATCAACACCATCATCATCAACATCCTCATCGAAAGCACCGTCCGAAACATCATCAGCATTGTTATCCTTGTCGTCCTCGTCATCATCATCACCGGCATCAGTACGAGCATCATCATCAGCATCATGATCATCAACGGCACCATTATCCGTATCCCCAACATCATCAACATCAACGTCACCATCGCCACCATCGGCAGTATCGTTTTTATCATCACCGGCATCATAGCCAGAATCAGCATCATCAGCATCATCATGACCATGATCATCATCATCACCATCATCATCAGCATCATCAACATCATCATCATCATCACCAGCATCATCATCATGGTCGTCATAATCATCATCATCATCATCATCATCATCATCATCATCATCATCATCGTCATCATCATCATCATCATCATCATCATCATCATCACCAGCATCATCATCATCAGCATCATCATCATCATCGTCATCATCATCATCCCCATGATCACTAGCAGCAATATCCGCATCCGCTTCCTTACTGGCTCCTCCTCCTCCTCCTCCTCCGCCTCCTCCTCCTCCTCCTCCTCCTCTTCCTCCTCTTTCTCCCCTCCCCCTATACCTCCTCCTCATCCTCCTCCTCCACCTCCGCATCCTCCTCCTCCTCCTCATCCCTTCTCCCTCCCTCCTCGATAGCTTCCACCACGGATGGCTGACCACGCCACCAGCCCACTGGACAGCTCCGAGTGGGTCCAACTGGGCCCAGCAGCAGCCGCGGCAGGAAAGCCTAAGGGAAACCCCTCGGTCGTTGACACGGTCCGGATTGAGCCTCAAGGGGCATTCGAATTTAATTCCCCTGGTTGCATTGCCCACTCGAGGCAAGACATGGCGCTAGGACTGGTGCAGGACATGGTGCCAGTGAGGTTTCTGGGAAACTTTCCAGCAATCACATCTTTTGCTCCATGATTGCCCTGTCCTCAACTGGCACGCCATGGTGGTACATCAGGCCTCTGGTCTCACCAACGGGGTGAAGGCGCCCCAGAGCAATATCATTTCAAGCATCCTCCCTCCTCCCTCCTTCTCTCCCGCCCTCCCTTCATTGCCCCTCCCTCCCTCCCTCCCTCTCCCCCTCCCCCGTAGACACTTTAGCCCAAACCATTCTCAAGCCTCACGTTCACCCTCGGGGATCTCGTGGGGTGCGAGCATCCGTTCCAATCAGCTCGAGGTGGCTGAGTCAGGTGCCTGCGGCACCAGATCGACTTGAGCTGGGGCAACTTGCCGTCGCACGCGCGATTGCCCCTGGCAGACCCTGGTGACTCCAACTTCGTGGAGTACGGCGCAAGCTCGACAACAATCTGGCCAAGTCTTCAGGCCCTAGGAGGCCCAGTCTGGGCAGAGTCGCCGCCTGGTGGAGCCACATACCACTACCAGGATTTTGAGTAGCACGACGTGGGGCAGTACGAGGTTGAGCAGCACGTTCAAGAATGCGGATACGGCCACGGCAGAATTCGCAGTACGGCAACACGACGTTGAGCACGGTATCACCAAAAGCGTCGCCTTGAAGTGGTGAGGCTCATCCGTCCGGTTTCGGCCAGCACGACTTCTTGCAACAACTTGTCATGGGTGTGCGGTATGTCGTTGAGCAGCAAGACGTTGAACAACATGGTACTAGAAGTACGCCTACCCGTGATACGTAGTGCGGCACGTAGGTGAACTGCACCACGTTGAGCAGTGCATGCAGACGTGAGGCCCCGACTTCTTGCAGCACGTTGCTGGGTAACATGACGGTGAGCGGCTTCTAACGGAAGTGCGTCTTCAAGCAGTACGTCACGAAGTACTCCGTTGTGCAGCAAGATGTTGGACGGTTCAATCAGAAGTCAGACTACGACGTCTTGCAGCAGGTCGAAGTGGATCAGCTGCAGCAAGTGGCAGAGCAGCACGAATCCGAGTAGCATGTTCTTGAGGTAAATACGCCTTCCAGCAGTATTTCATGCAGAGCGTCGCGGAGCAACACGACGTCGAAGAGAACAATATGATGTCAGATCCCGATGTCTTACATCAAATCATTTGGGCCTTGGGTTCCGTTGCATGACGTCGCTAAGCAGGACGGTGTTGCGCAGCGCGTGCCACTAGTATTGTTCGTGCAGTACATCACGCAGAGCGTCGTGAAGCAGCGCGACGCTGAACAGTGCCAGGCCAGAGAGTGGCACCTCTTCCCAAGGTGGAGACTTCGCGCTGGGAGCATCCTGCCCGTGAGGGAAGGGCCCTGCCCAAGAACCGAGGCCTGTCCAAGGCCCGCGGGCGCCGGGCGGGCGGTCAACTCTGCCTGCTTCGATGGGCGCGCGTCCCTCCCACCTCCTCCTGCGCGCGAGCACAGCGCTGTCCCCGCCTCCCGTCACCCTCCACTCCTCCTCCATATGTTTTACATCCTCGTAGAGTGGCGACGCATCGGTTGGCTCCGCTCCCCGTTGTGCGACTCAAAACGTCGCCAAGCAGACCAGGGACCTCACAGGAGCAGACCTGCATAGGCAAATTCCTGCAGTGAACTCAGTCCTCCCTCATTCTGTGGCGGCGCGCAGAGGGGGGCAGGGGAAAGGGGAAAGGCTTCTTAGAAGCACCCCTGCTTCTTAGAAGGCGCAAGCATTCCAACTACAGACAAGCCTCGGGGCTTCTAAGAAGCAAGGGTGCTTCTAAGAAGCCTTCCCCCCTCCCGCTACCCCCCTTCAGCGCGTGACCGAATTCTACTTTGCAAGCGACCGCGGCTCCCAGACCACGCCCAATCACGTTGTCGGGCCCTCCCGGGGGCGCCCCTGGCAGCACCCCCCGGGGCTCCCGGGTCCCCCGCGGGACTTCCTGGGCTGTCGTGGCGCCTCAAAATCAGGCGATCGAAATTTTATCCATGCCCTACTCGCGCCCCGACCCCCCCAAGAGGCCAGAGCGGGGATGTGGATAAAATAATGGCCTCCGAGGCCACGCGTTTTTGTTATCCATACTCTGATGCACCTGGCGCCAAGAGTGGGGGGCAGCAGCGGGGATAATTATGGATCGAACGCCGATAGCCAAAAATCGAGCATGGATAAGAGATGCGGCGCGCAGTCGTCTGCGACGACGACGCCGACGGCGGAGACGACGACTTTCTCATTCAAATCTGGCCCCTGGAACTCTCCTGGACTTAGCCGCCCCCATACGCAACACGCAACCCATGGCGTGTGGATACAGAACTAAACAATTGAAAACGTGCGTTTGGCGCGGCAAGGTCGCCGAAACGTGGGCCAACACGTGGCGAGCCAACACGCAGCATGTCTAACCCGGCCGTTTTGTGCACGGTATGTGCTGCGCTTCTGCACCAGCCTAGCCTATCCAGGCGTCGCGACCCCCCAGAGATCCAGGGGGGCCCACGCCACGAATGACCTGCAACGCCCGAAAAGAGGGGGACGCGTCTCGACCAGGATTGCGAGGCGGATCCGGCCGTGGCGACGACGAGGCCCCGCGCGCGGACCCCGAAGCTCTGCGACCCCTTTCGTCTTTGGGGCTAAGCGGCTTCTCTAGCGTCCAGGATCGCTGCCCGACAGATCCTGGAGGCCGAAAGCGGCCCCAGGCACTTGGGGGCCCCAATCAGGAATACCCAAACCGAATCTAAAGAGAACAATTGAAGACTGCCAGGCGCCCAGTCGTCGAGCATCTTCGGCCACGTGTTGTACGCGTGCCCCGCGTCGTTGCCCGCCACGAACGGCCCGCTCAGCAGGGTGAGGCCCACCAGGCCTGCCGCGGGCAGGGCGGCCCTCCTGAGCCTCAGCGCCGCCACGATGGCCTGCCGAGGGGGGAGGGAGCGCTGCGCGGAGAAGCCGCTGCGGCGCGGAGGAGCCGCTGTGGCGCGGAGGGGCCGCTGTGTACGGCGGAGGGGGGGAGGGGGGGGGCAGAGCGCACAGGCGGCGAGCGCGCGTGCAGCGCAGCCGACACCGCTGCCCGTACCAGGCATCCGATGCCGCAGCTGCTCGAACAGGAGCTGCTGCAAACTGCGCGCGCGCCCAGCACGGCGGTCTGCTGGTTTTGCTGGCGCCGCCCTGGGCGCTG